AATACAAACACTCACTCTGGACAAATTAATAAATGTTGCTAACATCCAGCAGACAAACAGGAATCTGTCTTGTTTTGGGGGAAAGTTTGCCTTCAAACGTGAAGAGAATACGATCTGAAAAATTTAAATAGAATCCAAATAATAAAACTCATTTTTTTAAAAAGAAATATTTGAAAGAGTAATCTGTGAAATTGGAAAAAAACGATATGTTTTTTTAAATAAAATCTAATAAAATTACTATTATTTTTGTATTTATTTTGGCATTTTTAATGCACACGACTCTTGTACGGAGGCCTTAGTCCTCGACGCGGACGACCCGGGTTCGAATCCGGCCTGTGGTCCGTTACCGCATCTCTCTCATCCTCCCTCTGGGGGAGTGGCTGTCTACTGGTTAGGGCATAGAGCTTGGAATCCTGAGGTTCTGAGTTCAAGCCCCACTCCCACAGACTGCCACTCTGGGTCCCTGAGCAAGACCCTTATCCCCACTCTGCTCCCTGGGCGCCGCACAATGGCAGCCCACTGCTCCCCGAGGGGAGGGGTTAAATGCAGGGAATTAATTTCGTTGCTCTGTACTTGTGACAGTGGAATGACAATAAAGTTGAATTCTATTCTATTCTAGATCTAATTTTTTTGTTTCCGTTTTTCCAAAGCACGTTCTTTGCTTGCAGCAATAATGAAACAACTTTCACTCCATAGACATCCAGACACACTCTGGATCTCTGCAAGATTAAGAATAGAGCACAGATTCTGTTTTTCCTCCAAACATCCGATCTAGAACGGATTAACTGCTACGTCTTCGATATCGGAGCCTTAACCGGGGCACGGACCCCCGTTGGCCTCCATCTAGAGCCGCCCATGCCTGCATGCAGAACAGGTCTTTTTTCTTTCTCTTGAACCGAATGCTTTTCCTTCCTAGATCAGCACCTTATTCTCGGAGCGGAGGAAGGGATTTACACGCTGAACCTCAATGAACTTCATGAAGACACACTAGAAAAGGTGAGACAAGAAACACCAGCAGCTTCTCGCTCCGGTTTCTAACATGATCTTTGGTTTTAAATCACGTCCATCCGTCCACAGCTGCTCCCCCAGCGATGCACGTGGCTTTACGTCATGAACAACGTGCTGATGTCGGTATCAGGTACGTCTGTTTCATCACTCAGCAGGTTTTTGCTCTTTAACACCCGGAGCCTCTGAGACGGTTTTTCATCCGTGCAGGAAAGTCGTCGCAGCTTTGCTCCCACAGCCTGACGGCTCTGTTCGAGCAGAAAGGACACGTGCACAAGCGGCACGGCAGCCTGTCTCTCAGCACCAACCGCTTCGCTGAGAGGATCATCCCCAGGTCTGTACCGGCTGTAGAACGTCCGGACAGGAACGTCTAGAAACTCACACATTTTCTCTTTGTTTGCAGAAAGTTTGCCATTTCTGTGAAGATTCCAGACACTAAAGGCTGCAGGAGATGTGGTGTAGGTAAGGGATCCAAACGAGCCGTTTGCTGATTTTCCACGTTAGAAACGTGGAAAATCAGCAGCTGAGTTCGGCTGGCAAGTGTTGACGCTCTAATTCTCCACACATTCTGTTGGAAATCTCTTCTGCTCGCTGTGTTCCAGCCAGAAACCCCTACACTGACAGCACCTTTCTGTGCGCCGCCGTCCCATCCGGCCTGGTGCTGCTCCTGTGGTACGAGCCGCTGCAGAAGTTCATGCATCTGAAGGTCAGTGCAGATCCTCTGTTCTGGTGACGTCGCTGCAGATCAGCACTGGAAAAACTATCTAGAAATAAGTAAAAAATCTCGTAAATTAAGTGTAGTTACCCGTAATTAAATGATTTGCCAATGGAATGAGGTATTTTTACTCTTTAAATAAGATATTTAGATAAAATGCACTTGAAATAGGACAATGCAATTAAGTTTTCTTATTTTTAAGTGTAATT